AAAACGAAGGTTATGTTTTTTTTTTGTTGGAAAGTTTACATTTGCATAAAACCGGGGGAGAATGTTGGAAAAATAACCAAAGACAAAAATAAATAAAAAAGTCTGAGACATGATTTTATTATTTTTAAAGATAATTTTTACCTTCAGGATATGAAATTCGATACAAAAAGACTGTAGCGATTATCCTCCAAGATTCAACAGACCCTAAACCCTATTACCTACATGAACCTAATTTATGAGATCTCCAATTACATAGATTGGGTTACCATTATTTGTTGATTTCTTCAATTGGTTTAAGTCTCGTTCCGCTCGATGTATCATTAATCAATTTTTTTTCCAAAGGTTTAGCTAGAGGATCACTCAAATTCAGCTCTAACTTTACACGATTAATGAATATAATTTTATCTTTGAGCAACTGTTTTGCTTTATCATGTCTCAAGTGAATATGTCTATTCTAATCATTGAAAGTTTTATTCTTTACAATAACTATTGTCGCCTAGCAATCACAATGCATAAACATTGAATGTGTTGGTTTTACTCCCAACAAAATATTTACTGAGAGGTTTCTTAACCACTCAACCTCATTGCCAACCAACTCTAAAGCTTTAAAATTTGATTTCATTGTAGATTTAACAACTATTGTTTATTTGGTTGATTTTCAAATTACAGCACCCCTACCAAGAGTGACTACATATCTAGTTGTGGATTTTATCTTATCTGAATGAGATCTAGTTAGCATAATTTTATCCTTCTAATATAGCAAGAAATCCATTATATAAAATATTATCGTTTATAATACCTATTAAGTATTTTTATTACAAAGCAGTCTAATGATCTTGATGGGGACTTTGTGTATATTTACTCAGTCTACATACAATATAACAATATCAAGTCAAGTATAATTCATCAAATACATCAAACTCCTAATAATCTGAGCATACTTAGATTAAGCCATACTATTACTTTTATTTTTCTTTAATTGGATATTACAATTACAAGAAATATTCACAAGTGTAACATTAAAATGTCCAAACTTTTTAAGTAGCTTTTCAACGTAATGCTCTTGTGTTAACATTAAGTCACCATCACATCTTATGCTTTTAATACCCAAAATAACATTGGCTTCTCTCAAATCTTTCATATCAAATTTAGAAGTTAAGAAACATTTTGATTTATTGACCACATCAATGCATGTATCAAAAATATGTATATCAATTCATTTAAATTTAGTGACAGTAAAATCATGCCTATAATTACCAGCTCATGCAATCTCAATTGGCAATTAAATCAGTAGACAAGTGTTCAAATCATGCTCAACAACCAGATAATTATCAAAGTAATGTTCAAATCAAGCATATTCCGTAGCTCAATAAACCAAATTCCTACTTATATCAAATGACAATGAATTCATGCTTTCATGCAAAATGAATTATGCAACAACAACATTTTTATTGAGAAAGCACAATGGAAGAAATTTCTTTTAAGTTATCTGCTTGCTGTCTTTATATACTTGTTGTAAAGTTAAATCAAGTAACATACACAATAATGTAGAATTCATATTAGAATTGGCAAAACTATGGCAATGAAGTAAGTTAGAGCCATAATAACTGTCATAGCTTATCGACTTCAATAATTTCACCATAAAATATTGCTTTTAAAAAAATCACCATCAATCCATCATTGCTTTTTTATTTTGAAATTTATTGTTTATTTTTCAACATATAGCAGATTATATTTTTCCTTATGATAAACAGGAAAAAAAGTAATATTTTGAAATATTAAAAAGGTTCTATCATTCTTTAACTCAAGAAAATAAAAACCATAAAAGAAAATAAAGTAGATAAAAGAATATATCAAGAAAGTTAAATAAAAGTAAAAAATGCACATGTCACGTAAAAATTTTACCTAGTAAATTAAATCCCGATAAAAATAAAAAATGCAAATATCACAGCTTTTGTGAACACAGGATATTTTGCTAGAAGAGCAAAATACCATGAACGTAAAGACCAACCACTTCTTGAAAATTATCTTTAAGATTGTTGGAAAAATAACAAAGCACAAAAATAATACAAGAAAGTCTGAGTCATGATTTCATTGTCTTTAAAGATAATTTTCGTTTTTTGAAGTACGAAACTTAGTGCAAAATGACTATAACGATTATCTTCCAAGATTCAACAGACCTCACAACTAAGGGATAACATGAACAAACAAAAGACTTTTCTAGAATCTAATGGGAAAGCAAGAAAGATAGAGAAAATATGCAATGAAGATGAGAAAACTGTTGGTGTATTGTGATTGAGGTAAAGAGGCTATATTTATAGGTTGAAGCAGAAAGTTAATGTTACAAAATATGAGCATAAAATCAATTGAAAATAAAAAAGAATTAAGAAAAATTATACTGAGTCAAATAATATTTACGAGAATGAGGAAATATCAAGCTTAGTCCGATTAATGATATAGGCTGGAGTAAAAAGTTAATGTTATATATAAGCATAGAGTCAACTAAAAATAAGAAGAAATCAAAAAAAATTATGTTGAGTCAAATAAGGTTTGAGAAAATAAAAAAATATCAAGTTTAGTCATATTAACGATAAAATCTAAAACATAAAACTAAATCAGATAAGATTAACAGACTTAATCATTAAGATTGCTTCAACTATTAAAAGTTAAGAAAAAAATAAAATTATACTTGATCCTAGCTCACGTGTAAGGAGAATCTATATTTTCTTAAGCCTTAGTCCAATCTCTTATTTGCACCAAACTTTTTTCTTTTCCTCCGTACAATAAACCCATTATAAATCTTCATATATAAGCTACTCACCTCTCTTATTCCTTGATACTGTTGCCATGTGCATTTCATCTTCATCGCAGGACAATAAAAAGCACAAGCGAAAATTAAAAAAGGAGACCATCGTTGATGTAATAAATATTGTCTGACCCTTGCAAAGTTAGAAGTGAAATGGACAGCAGCAGCAAACATCCAACACCGTCCCAGCCCGCAGCAGCACAAAGGCCTAGTAACTTCGCTTTGGCATGTCGTAGACTCGCAGTTATGAAACCAACTACACTGTTAACCAACAAACTGCTTGGAATACCAAGTAGTTACTGTATTTTTTTTTTCTGGGAATTAGTATGAATTTGTTGAGCAAGCGAGTGATAGGGTATGAACTGAGGATGGATGCATACGCGCATGCATAAATTATAGAGGTACTTACTAGTGTTCATATTGAAAACCCAAAAAAGAGATGGAAATTATGCCAGGAAAGAAAGAGCACTAATGATGTAATAATATGGGTAAAAAAAGGGAGACAAAAATAGGGTACGTACTATGATTACTGATTTAATGAAGACAAATTTATCTGATATCATTACCCCCTGGCTTTTTCCAAAAAGAAAGATTCGTTGATTAACCAAACTGCAAGTTCGAATTTTTCATTGGTATTCTACGGATGAGGTGAATCCCTATGCCTGATAGCTGTAGGACATCTCTCTAATAATACCAAGTGATGTCTTATCCAACGAATATATCACGCTAATCCGTTATTGTTCAAGACGGACAGGAAGCTTACCGGTTTGCCAATAAGCAAATTCCATCTTCTTGCACCTAATGATTCCCTTATAAAGAAGTTCTGCAAATTGTTAGAAAGGAAGCCACGAATTGGCAACTCAAAGTTCTCTGAATTATTAAAAGTAAAGAAACAACGAGGGACCTTTTCCTTTGGCAAACGCGTATTCGCTCAACCATTGGTTGATTGAAGCTTTGATTTGAGAGGAGGAATTTCAAGAAATGAAAAGCCTTTATGATTGTGGTTCGACTTACACATTACGAGTCAAAAAGGCCAAAAAAAAAAAAGGAAGAAGAAAAAGAAAGTTGTATCATCCACTTCTAAAAGCAACCAGTCTTATAGAAAAATATGTAACACTAAGAAAAACCCCACTTAATAAACTTTTTACCTAATCAATATTCCTCTTTCAATCCCTCTTTAAACGAAATAAGTACATATATATATATTATATTAAAGAGATATTCCAAATGATTAAAACTTAAAATTTCAAGTTAAAAGTTTCAAATTATCGAATAAGAAAAAAATTCCTTTCGTGGTATAACACAATATCACATGTTAAAAAAGACATATCAATATTGGAATCTAAAATAAAAAACCCAAGTTTATCATATCAATTACTAATCTCAAATATACATAATTGTGATTTATCTTCTATTTTAGGGGGCAGGGCAAATGTGTTATGGATATTTGAGACGTTAGAATTGGACTCCTACCTTGGCGTCTACTTCCTTCCACTTTTGGGGGGCTGCGTAACCTATATTTTGTAAAGTTTATTGGAGGTTAGGCTAAATAAGAAAATAATTTTCTTTAAAGAGCCCATTTGAAAATGAGGTACATTTTTTGTTATTTAAAGAGCCCATTTGAATCCACCCACCGTCAATAAAAAATGAAAAATGAGATACATTATTAGAGAAAATTAAAAGTTGTTACTGGGTCAACTTAACCTATAAAGATAGGAGATAAAAGCCGGATATTGAATTTTATTTTATTTTTATTAAAACTAGTTAACTACTAAGGTTTGGTGGGCTATAAATGTTTTTTACAGCATAATGAAACAGCAACAAGTCAAATTATATAAGAAAACCAGAAGAAATGTCATCAGTTTGATAAGAAAGCCAGCTTGGCATGATAAGACATCATCAGATTAGATTATCTTGCCTCAGCACTCACTAGCACGTACGTCCTTGCTCCTTTTGCCAACGTTGTTCCTCTAACCTCCTCGAATGTTGGGGTTGCCCAGTTGGCATCAGATTTACTGCATGTGAACCAACAAATTCAGCCTGCCTGCCTGCCTGCATGCAACATTTCCGCATATCTGCTATATCAATA